ATGACTGAGCGACTGATAGCTGGGCCAGCCCTGACCCTGCACCGGCTTCCTTACCACAGAGCCCAAAGCAGGAGGGCAGGGGTGGAGCCTCCAGAACCAGGAGGAGGAAGGGGAAGAAACGGGACAAAAGAGCCTGGTTCGTGCCATGTGAGAGGCTGCGAGCAGAGGGGACAGTCCCCCAGCCCGCGGAGAGCAGAGATGAGCAGCGTCAGGATGGACCCAGGACGAGGAAGCCGAAGTTCGCTCTCCCTTCCCACGCTGAGCAGGCGGCATCCACGGGGGCCCCGAAGCTGGCCATCAGGACTTCACTGGGCCCCATCCCCGCCCCAGGAGCCCAGCCTTACAGGAAAAACACAGAAAGGAGGGCCCGCGGCAAGTACAACAAGTGAGGCTTGGCCGATCCCCGGATGAACCGCTTCCCGCGGGGAAGGCGCCGTGCCAGCAGCTTCCCCCAGGCACGTGCATCCTCACCTCGGCACCTGCCCCGCCTCTCCTCTCGCCAGAGCAAACTCAGGACAAGAACGGCAAGATGTGCCTGGGGGGATCCTGACTTCCGGCCAGCGTCCAGTGGTCCCTGCTCCAAAACCCGAGGAGGGGGTCAAGCGATTCAACAACCCTTTGAAGAGGCGGTAGTCAGACACTTGGGAAGATTCAGGCTTCTGTGGCTGGAGCCAGACCTCACTTACTCAAAACGGGTTTGGGTGAGTTCTCCAGAGATTCGGTAGTGTCTTCAAGTTTCCATAATTCTCTTTTAAAAAATGACACCCTTGTTACACAGCCTTGAAAGGAAAGCTCGGGAACTCTGATGGAAACGCACGTTTACAGTGAGGGCCATGGTGCCCACAGCGAGGCTCCTGTGTGGTAGGCACCTCGTCCTAGCAGCTGGGCTGGCCCAGAGGTCCCCGGTCTTCTCTGAGAGGCGGCCCCTGCAGGGGGACCCGCCGGCTGACCCTGGGGAAGCCACCTTGCCCCTCGCCTCCGCTGGGGAGCGGGCAATGAGGGCTCAGGGCCCTTGGGAGCCACCACAGCGTGTGCCCAGATGAGCCTCTCGTGGGCCCCCGGGGCTGCTTCCTCCACGTTGCGCCCGGGAACAGGGGCTTCTCCTCCAGCCCCTGCACCCATCCAGGCGCGGAGCGTCTCCACAGTCTGGCTCCGAGGGAGCTCGCCTGCCGGGTCTGCAGCCAGCACCCTACACACTCACCATGAGGCCTCTTTTCTAGATTAAACATGCGCTGCTTTTATAATCAGGAAAAAAGTATGCTACTTTCAAAAACAGACGAAAGTGATTCAGGAATGAAGGATCAAAATACTTGTCGAGTCCCCTGGCACAGCGGGCATGCAAGCTCTCTGCTAGAGGCCCAGCTCTCGCCTCCTCCTCCGCCCTCAAGTCCCATGTCTCTCCCCACCAAACTCTGAGCTTCCTGGGAGCCTGCAGGGTGCCCACCACTCTGCCTGCACCCCAAGTCCCCACCAGGAAGGAAAGGACAACCCCCCTGGGAAGGACGAGGTGGTGTCGCCTCGTCCGCAACTATGACATTCCACTACATCCAAAAAATGAGGAAATACGATGCCAACAGAGATCCCTGGGTCAGGAAGATCCCCTGGAGAAGGGCATGGCTACCCACTCCAGTATTCTTGCCTGGAGAATCCCACGGACAGAGGAGCTTAGAGGGCTACAGTCCATGCGGTTGCAAAATAGTTGGACACAATTGAGCGTGCACACACACACAAACACAGCACAGAACAGTACTGGAGGCGCTGTTAGGACGCAGTGGGAGGCAAACGGTGATGTTTTCTCCCTTTTATAACAGAACTATTCACAACTAAAACCTTTAAAACAAGGGAAAAAATGCAAAAGAGGAGGAGAGGCTTGTTAACATACAAAAAGTTAAGGGGGAAGGTGGAGAAATCAGAACGAACCCCAAAACAAAGAGCATTTTAGCTTGTGCAGTCTACAATACAAACTTTTCTAGTGAGAGAGAGATTCTTGTAAGAATGATCTCAAGTCTTGAGGCAAGATGGCCCACAAATAGAAGGGATGAACGGCGCTTTTTTTATTTGAACTAAGACTGTGTTTAAAGAGAACCATTGTCAGAAAGGCTGTCGAGAGGGCTGCCTTTCACAGCCAGGAAGAGACAAGAAATGCACAAGATTGAGGTGGGGAGGGCCACCTGGGCACTTGCCCACTCACGGAAACAAGTTCCCACAGTGACTGCTGGAGTGATTCCTGCAGATTATACAGTTTGTTTTCACAAAGTTTGTTTTCGCCGAGTGTCAAAAGAGTACTTTAAACTCAACCGTAAGGAAAACGCGCGACGGCAAACTGGGATTGACTTAAAAACACACCAGAAAATGTCTATGCTCCCGAATCATGAAAATGTGGCTCTAGGTCATTCCTGGTGGCCCAGAGGTTAAGAATCCGCCTGCCAAAGCAGGGGACGCAGGCTCGATCGCTGGGTCCTGGCGGAGTCCACGCGCCACGGGGCAGCCGAGCCCGTGAGCCACAACTACCGAGGCTGCGTGCTGCAGCTGCTGAAGCCCGCGCGCCTAGAGCCCGTGCTCTGCAAGGAGAAGCCTCCGCAATAAGAAGCCCGCACACCCCAACTGGAGTAGCCCCTGCTCGCTGCAGCAAAGACCCAGCGCAGCCAAAAATAAATAAATATTCTATTTACATGCGGCTTGACAGAAAATGTCAACACTGATTTTCAAATTATTATATAGGCTGAGATTCCTATTTCTTTGTTGAACGTATTGTACAGTGCTTATATTAACGGTGAGTGTATGCTCGGTCGTGTCTCCTTGGGGCCCCATGGACTGCAGCCCACTGGGCTCCTCTGACCAGGGGATTCTCCAGGCAGGAATACGGGAGTGGGCTGCCATTTCCTTCTCCAGTACGGTGCTTAGAATGACTGAAAACAGAGTTTTAAAGAATGCCCTTCGCTTCAGCAGCTTCTAAGGTGGAGCTCACGGCGACGACTCTGTGGCCAGCGTGTGGCACGGGCACCCCCCCTCCCCGGCGCCCCTCCTCCTGCAGACAGATGCTCACAGCACCTCTTCTCTGAGTTTCAGAGCCACGCTGCACACACCGACCCGCGGGGTCACCAGCGAGCACAGGTCATCCTCTGACTCTGACCTGGAGGTGTGGGGCTACGGCTCCCGTACCCTGGGGCCCCCTCCCCGACACGCCATCTCTTGAGTGGGGGCCTTCCCCGAAAGAAAGAAAGAGAAGGGGGGTAGCAGACCACAGGGGCTGTGCTGGGATCACAGCTGGCACCGCCACGGCCATGCTTCCACGCCGTCTTCAGCATCCGGCCGCCAGACGTTTACCCAGGGGCCACCAGGAATCAGACTCAGGCCTGGTCTCTGTGAGAATCCTGCAGAGACGACGTGATCACCCCGTCCAGGACTGAAACCAAGACGCAGCTTGCTTGAAGTCACCCAGTTGGTGGGTCCCCAGGATTCCAGGCACCCGCCCCATCCCCATCCAGAAGTGCGGTCCATGTTTGTACACGGAGCTGGGAGGCCCGCACGAAGTCTCCACCAGCAGGATGTGCTTCTCAAGCCGTGAGGCGCATGGGAAGCCGCCCACTTTCTGGCTCACTTGGGAACCACCTTGTCACAGTCTATCAAGCTACTGAAACCCCCTCCACCCACACCTGGGCAAGCATCAGGAAACTGCCTGGAGAGGCCTGAGCTACGCAAGGACTCGGGGTTCAAACCAAAGGCGCCCTGGCCAGACGACTCGGGGAAAGGGAAGAAGCGGCCCTGCTGACTCTGCGCGCCCTGGCCAGATGACTCGGGGAAAGGGGAAAAGTGGCCCTGCTGACTCTGCGGGGCTCAGACAGGACAGAGGAGCATCGCCAGCTGCTAGTTTCAGCCCTCCCCCATGCTGCCCCCGCATCCTGGGTGAACAAGAAGACCTGCTGGACAGGTGGGCGCTAGCCCGGGGTCGCGGCACCTTCGAGGAGCACCGCAGACAAACAGCCCGAGCTGCGTGTCTGGGGAGATGCCAGAGACAGTGCTTGGCAGGCCTCCGAGAGTTGCTAAGAAAGAAAGGAGTCTCTCCTTCGACACTTTCAGCTCAGGCCTCGACTTCTTTCTAGCTGGATGGTGAAGGTGTGGCCACAGGCGGTGCGGCTGGGGGCTGGGGCAGAGGCGGAGGTCTGTGTGCCCCTCCTCGTCCCAGCCGGCCCTGCCCACACAGACAGCAGGCACAGTGCGCGCAGGCAGGCTGGCGTCCAGGAGTGCCATGGAGCGTAAACCACAGAGACGGGGGCCTTGCCTTCAGGACACGGCCAAGCCAGGCCCGGCAGTGCTGACCTCAAAAAGCTGACAGTGGCTCCCTTACATCCACCCCAGGCTTTCATGGGGTCTGTTTTATTCTCAGTAAGGCCAAGGGGCCCGAGAGGAACGGATCTAGTCTCTGAGCTGAAATCCCGGAGGATACCAGATGGAGGGTAAACATTTTACAAGAAGAAGAAAGAAAAGCATCCATAGCCGTGTAGATTAGGAAAACACTGCCCAGGGCATGGCATGCAGAAGCAACACACAGGGAATGAGAAATTCCTGATCACAGCCGACGCTTTTTGCTAATTACAGAAGGAGAACTGCTTCGAGAAACATCTAGGACACTTTCCACCGGAGCCTGGGGCCCTGGACCCAGTGAGACCTGCCCCGCGGTGTCCCCAGCTCAAGGGCAGGGCTCCTTCCTTCAAGGCCTGGAATTAGACCCCAGATGAGCAGTTCTCGCCTTTGGGAAGAACAAACCCTGTTGGAGCTCAGGACACAGAGGACCCGGCACTCTCTGCCACTTAAGTAGCATCAAGCTGCGCCCATCTCACATCCAAAACCGGCACCCTATCTTACCCCAGGAAAGAACACCTGCCCTCCTTGGACCTGAGACCTCACCCCTTTCTCTCCACACCCCCCCAGGACGGTGGAGCCCCAGACAGCCCTTCGGGGGTGCCCAGTGTCCAGTAGGGCTGGGGGAGTGGACTTACCAGTGCTGGGCATGTGGTTCACGCGGGCAGGGTTGAGCAGCTCCACCGGCTGGTCTCGGCCAGAAAGTCCATCTGGAGGACAGAGAAAGCATTTGGCTTCAGAAACTGCTCGCGATTCAATGGAAGTATTTCACATGCGGAGTCTGCAAGGAGCCCTTCCCTGCAGACAATGAGAATGCATGTGTCCTTCTCACTTTTAAAGGAGACGGGTTCTATTTTGATTTGGGGAACTTCAGAAGAAGAAAAGACCCCATGCACAACAACCCAACCAGCTCGCATCTCCAACAGAGCAAACACCAGTTTCTGGCCTGCGGGCGTCTGGCCGAGCCGTCGTGGGTTCCTCCTGTTCAACAGCCAGCTGATAGGCACAGAGCGTTTCTGGAGCGACTGCGAGCAGTAGGACAGTACACCCAGAAGAGCGGCTCACCGTCTTCCCAGACACAGCCCAGGGGCCGGGGGGCCACAGAGTCACAGCCCTGAGGCCCCGTCGAGAGCACGCAGGCTGCTCCCACTCTCGGGACAGGCAAGGGAACTAAGACTCGCAACCCCGCTCCCGGGAAAACACCGGGCCAGGCTCCTACAGCCAGAGGGACCGTTTCCTACGAGTTTACCTTTCGACTGTGTTCTGACCGCAAAGGTGGCAGAACCGGAACCACACTTGCCCCTCACTTGGCACAGGCTGCCATCAGACCACGTTCTTTCACACACGAGAAGGAAACGCTGGGAAGACTTCCAGGAATCACACTTGGGATGTAAAATTAGCTTCAACAATGGGTGTGAACGCCTGCGGTAATGAGGGCATCATCACAGACGCTGGCGTGTGGTCACTCTAGCTACTGACTTTGGGAGAAATCACTGGTTTCCCATAGCAGCCATCGGCTCCCTCGGGCCAGCTTACAAACTGGGGCAAAAGCAAGTAACAGCAGGTCTACCGACTCGGTACCAAAGCCCTGCTTTTCACCCCAAATGGATGTCACTTCATGGCCTCCAAGTGCATTATCCCATGACCCTGGTGTGTCTTTGGAGATGCTCAAAATCCAAGGACAAACACAATGACCCTGAGGAGACCCCACAGGGTTTCCCGAGTCCTGCAGACCCTCCTGAGGATGCAGGGAGGCCTCTGCGGCATCATGGGCCTGGAGCTCTCTGCTCAGAGCGTGGCGGACCCCACACACGAGCTGACGTTCAGCCTGCCTGCCCAAATCAGGGACAGGGACTGCGGGCTCCATTCCCAGGCTAGACCAGCCTGTGCTTCACACACTGCAAGTCCAAGCCCCACACGGACATCCTCCCAGCCCTGTCGAGTGAGGTCAGGCAGGAAAGCTGCACGGGAAGAATGTTCCACCTCGGCGTGAGGGCAGACGAAGTGTCCTGCCTCTTCGGAGGCGTCACCGTGTAAAACCCTCTGAAGGCCGACTCTGCCGAGGGGCCGTCAGGGCTGGAGCACAGCTCCGGCGCCGGCAGCGTGAAGCCGGGAGAACCCGCGGGGCCGGGCACATGGCCCACCTCTCCCGGCTCCTCCACAGACCACCGTCAGCTGAACGCCACCAGCAAACTCCGCGTTCCTCACTCCGAAAGGGGGATCTCAGAGGCCCAGACGTGAGAGGTCTCCTCGCAGAAGGCAGCAGACAGGACGGCAGGGGGCAGGACCTGAATCAAGGCGGGACCTCAAGATGAGGCCACGGGGAGGACAAACGCACCAGGCCTCCTCTCCCCACCCCTGAAACGCCTGCCGGCGGCTCCGGAAGCCCAAGGCTGCCAGTCCAGGGCGTACGGCCCTGCACAGGAGGACTCCTAATGTCACAGGGCGGCGACCCAGGTTGAGAACACGGAGGCGAACTGGGCCCTCTCCAGCCCCTGGTGGATTCAGACCCAAACGCAGAGGGAAGACGCATCAGGTCCACGGACAGGGGCGGCAGGGCCCAGTGTGGGCAGGCGTGCTCAGCAGGCACACGACTGTGTCAGGCACGGAAGTCAGCCCCGGGGACGTCACTCTGTGTCACCTCGGTGACCAGAGCCAGTGACAAGTACCCCCGAGGGCCTCACAAATCCAGGTCCCGGTCTCAGGGCTCACAAATCCTCACAATGCACGGCAGCACGCCAGGCCTCCCTGTCCATCACCAACTCCCGGAGTCCACCCAAACTCCGAGTCGGTGATGCCATCCAACCATCTCATCCTCTGTCGTCTCCTTCTCCTCCTGCCTTCAATCTTTCCCAGCATGAGGGTCTTTTGCAATGAGTCAGCTCTTCACATCAGGTGGCCGAAGTATTGGAGCTTCAGCTTCAGCATCTGTCCTTCCAATGAACACTCAGGACTGGTTTCAGAGAGTGTAGCTTCCTTCTTTGAAGTCACATGTATCAGTCTTTTTTTTACAGCTTTTCCTTTCTGTGTCAGGTTTAAGAAGCTCTTCCTCACGTGGAGGTTGCAAAGATTCTTTACCTTACTGCCAACTGAAAGTGTTGTGGTTTTTCCATTTTGTGTGTAAATCTCATCTCTCTAGTATTGATTTTGTATATGGTATAAAGTACATCTTTTTTTTTTTCCTATGAGAACAGCCAAATGTCCCATTACCATTATTAAGAAGCCTTACTTTGAGAACCTATCGGCAACACAGCTTCTGTTACAAGCCAAACTTCTCTCCTTTAGGCCAACTTGTTTATACCCGTGCCAATAACCACACTAGCAGCCATAACTTGACACCAGGTCTTACCACCCGGCCAGGTGGGAGCCTCTGCCTTCTGCAGAATCACCCTGGGCGGTACTGGGCCTTAACCACAGAAATCTAAGAATCAGTTAAGTCACAAAGAAAGAAAAAGACAGAGGTAGGGAGACAGAGAAAGAACGGAGGGCGTTGTTTTTTTAAACTAAAATGTCTCTTATTGATCCGTACATGACTCAAATGCCTCCTCCCCCCCACAAAAAAAAGGCATCGAGGTCTCTTCCCCAGCTCTCCCCTCGGCCCCCGACTCAACACCCCACAACAATGGCAGCTGGAGCGGAGGAACAGGGCGAGGGGGTGCTCACGCAGATGGAGCCAGGCCCAGACTCCCGGGGCCCCGTTCCACACGTCCAACTGCAAGGCAGAGCTGGGGCGCTGGCGGCCTCCCCGTCCTCCTGTGAAGAAGGGGAGGAGGAGACCTCGGGCGATGACGAGCCTTTCCCTCGGCCTGAGGGCAGAGCCTGCTGCCTCCTGATGGGCCTAGAGCTGGGACCCCCTCGGTGCCCCGTGTGAAGGGCAGTGGGGGGACGGGACACGCACTGCGAGGGGCTGGGAAGAGAGAGAACCGGGGAGGGAGGGAAGAAGAATGAGAACCCTGACTGGGACCGCATCGTGACCAGACTTCAGGAGCAGAGAATCTTGGCAGTACCATGTCTCCCAACCCGTGAACATGGAGCATCACTTCATCTCATTTCTCTCAAAACAGTTCTAGACTTTTGAGTGCAGAGATCTTGAACATCTTTAGATTTATTGCCAGACACTCGATACTTGAAGTAAAATATTATGTAACTCATGGACTGTAGCCCACCAGGCTCCTCCATCCACGGGATTCTTCAGGCAAGAGTACTGGAGTGGGTTGCCATTTCCTTCTCCACAGGATCTTCCCCACCCTGGGATCGAATTCAGGTCTCCCGCATTACAGGCAGACGCTTTACCCTCAGAGCCACGACGGAAGCCCCAAAATATTATGTATAGTACTTTAAATTTTAATTGCTATTTGCTGGTATATAGAAACACAATCAATGTTTATACGGTAGCTTTGCACTATAGCAGCTTGCTAATCAACCCACATTCATTCTAATCATTCACCTGAAGTTATTTTGAACTTTTTACACACAGAACGACGTCACTTCTGATAATGACTGCTTGGTCTTCCTTTCCAGCCCTGAAGCTTTTTAATGTGTTTTTCTCACCTTATTCTACTGCTCAGATTAGGGTACATCATGGAACAGAAATAGTGAAACGGAACACGCTTGTCTGGCTTGCCATCTTACTGGGAATGTTTGCCACTATTTCACCAGCAAGTAGTACATTTGTTGTCAGTTTCTGACATAAGTTTATTAGTTTAAGGAAGTTCCCTTCTATTTCTACTTTGCAAAGACTACTTTAAAATCACGTGTGTGTGCTTAACTTTATTAAGCTTTTCTGTATCAATTCATGCAGTTAAATAATTTCCCTTTTCATCTAATAATTTCCTTTTCTCGTGTCCAACCAACTTGCATTTCTGGGATAAATGGATTTGGTCAGGTCCAGTGAGTTCGGAGACCAAAGCAAAGGCTAAAGTCATACAGACAGATGGAATCTGAGTGAGGTCTGGAATCTGTTTTACTTTTGATTCCAAAGCGTTGGCGATCCAGCCTCACGTTTCCGCCTTAGTTCCACACGTGCTGTGTTGTTGTGTATGTGAAAGAACAGGAAAAGGTACTATTCTGAAAGATGCTCAGTGGGACTTTTTCAATGTAGGTTACCAAAATGAAGTGGGGATGATAAGAGTGCCTGTCACCCAGCTGATTTTTCTTAAATTTTAAAATTGCTTTATTATCCTTATTGCTACTTCATTTATTTTTATTTTTTGGCCGTGCCGCAAGGAATGTGGGATCTGAGTTCCTTGGCCAGGGACTGAACCCAGGCCCCGGCGGTGCAAGCATGGCGTCCTGACCCCTGGACCGCCACGGAAGACCGTCACCCATTGCAGGACAGCAGCACTCACCGCTCCCTGTCTCACAGAGCCGTTTCAGACACAAGGCCACGGAATCCTTGGCATTCTGCAGCAGCTCATCCCAGCCCACCTTCCTGGCCCCCTTTATGCAAACTTTTTATTTTCTAACAATTGTGGATCTGCAGGAAAATTAAACAGTATAGAGAGTCCTCACACACCCTGCGCCCGGCTTCCCCCGGGATAGTATCTTGCATTAGCCTGTCTTCCATGAACGGAGGCCCACATACCACTCAGGCTTCTCTGTTTTCCCCTCACACTCTCCTGCCATCCCAGGACCCCCACCCCAGGACCCCATATGACATGCACTGGTCACGTCCCCTCAGGCTCCTCCCGGCTGTGACAGGCCCTGGGAT